ATTTGCTGTACGTCGATTTCGATACCGGATGTGCTGAGAGAGTGTTAATAAAGTGGGAGTGTGGGAAAGAGAGCGAACGATGCGGAAAGCCTGAAGGCGGCAGTGTTCGTAAAGCGAGAGCGAGACAGAACGGGAAAGCGGGAGAGAGTCACAGACGAACAGAGCGAGACAGCAGTATGAACCTCTCAGAGTTGAGTTGAGCTCGACTAAAACCAATTAAACAATGATATGTATTCGTTCAATTTGCCGAATAAACAATGAAGCGAAAACAGTAAGCTGGCTAGAGAACATAGAGCTGAGCAGACACACATACCCACTACCCAAGCACCGATCGGGTAGTATGTACATATATGTGCATGAGAGAGCATAGAGTAAAAGATTTGGTTTGCTCCTGATAATGCTGACGGAGGGGCAGCACTCAAGTTCAGCTTCTGCTGCTTCCCTATCGAGAGCTCGTGAAGAAGAAGAGTAGTCAAGATGCGCTTGTATTAGTAGACGCAAGGCTGGGGAGCTAAAGTAGTCTGTTCTGTGAACTGCTTATGGCTGCTAGGGCTCTATCGTCTATTTGTGTGTGTGTGTGTTTGTGTGTGGTGTATAAGTATTTATTATAATCGTAATACACAATTCGTATTCACTTATCATATTTCTATAATATTATTTGTATTTGTATTTGTATGTATTTTATATTTCGCTCGTAGTTAATATTGCGGCAAACACTTTGAAAAATAAAGGCTTGCATTGGAAAAAGAACACGTTACGATTTCGATATACGCTGTACGATATACGATATACAATATTCAATATTCGATATTGGCTCTTAACATTATATATATATTCAGAGTTGAGATATTTTACAATTGCTTCTTTAGTTCAAGTTGAGTTACAATTCTCATATGCCTTGCTGAACCCTGCTCCTACTCCTGCTCCTGCTCCTGCTCCTACTCCTGCTCCTGCTCCTGCTCCTGCATTTGCACCTCTGGCTAGAATTCATTGTGAGCTGCATACCTGGCAGAGGTATTCTTACCACGCATATACACATATGCACATTCACACATACGCATGCATGTATGTGTATGTATATGCCTGTACGTATCGCATTAACACTAACAACTAATGGCAATTTCCTTCTATTATGCAATTATATAGAATTTCTGCATGGCTATATATATATACGGATACACATATTCACATATGCATATATATGTGTATATATATCATTTATTATTCTATATATATTTAATATGTGATTTTTACATGATTTATATATATATATATCTTGTTATCCTTTTGCATAGCATTCAGTATGTATTCAATTCTCTTACTTATTTTCTCTCTTTACTTGGCTTGAGAAAAAAAAAAAAACACGAACAAACTAATTTTTTTGTGTGTGTTTTTAATAATTATTTAGTTTCCTTGTACACCAAGTATTTTCATTATATTATTTGTATTTTTATTGGTTTTTAACTAGATTTTAGCCTTATGCATATTTGGCTAGAAGCTGTTTAAAAAAAAAAAACGCTTAAATTACTTTGTTATTTATTTATTTTTATTGTTATAATTATTGTTTTTTCTTTTTTCGTTTTTCCATTCTCTCTATTAGCGACCTAGAAGTAATTTTCTTTACTTTTTTCCAATTGCTTTTCTTATTATCCTCAAACCTTGCTGGCTAAAATCTAATGCGTCTTTGAGTATGCTGTAGTGAGAAAACAAATAGCAACGAAGGATGTTCGTATGTGTGTGTGTGTCTGTGTCTGTGTGTGTGTGTGTGTGTGTGTCTGTGTGTGTGTGTGTGAGCAAGTGCAGATGATTCCCGACTTGTTAGATTCTTTTGTTTTATACCAACTGTGGAATTGCCAGGCTCTGTTTGCATGAATCGTGACTCGTGATTCGTGATTCGTGACTCGTGAGCTGCCCTTTGCATGGGAACCTTCAAGTATAATTACAAGTATTTAACTCTAGAACTATTTAGCTGGCAGTGACATTTGCTCATTTGGCTTGGCTTGTCTGAATGCGTCCTCAATTGTGACATAAAAAAATGCGCAACAGTGTGAAAGGAAGACAGAGATAGAGATACCGATACTGATTGAGATAGAGACTGAGTGAGCAACGCATTGTAATAGAGTTGGTGTCGGTGATTGCGATTGCGATTGGTTTCAGAGAGCCCGCTAATGGAAAACTCTGGAGGCGTCTGCAAGTTGTTTGGTCCGTTTTACAGTACTTTCAAAACTTTTAACAAAATTGTGATTGGGCAAAAAACGAGAGCTGGCTATGGCTATGGCTCTGGCTCTGGCTCTGGCTCTGGCCAAGCGGGAGCCTTACAACAAACCAAGTGCGCTTCAAAAAGTTTTCTGGACGGATTTTACAATTTGTAGCACATGATGTGTGGTCAATTCGATGTGAATCAGATGAGCTAGCTATATATACATATATATCATCTATATATATATGAGAAAGAGAGATTCGCCTTCCATATATACATACACACATACATATATATAGATATATGTAGATATGATTGCATAGACAACAAGTTGATGAGTTTTGTGAGACTTAACTTTGGTTCCACAGCATTCGGGCAGCTCGCTTATGTGTGTGTGTGTGTGTGTGTGTGATTGAGTTTTTCAATTTATTATGACAAATTTATGATAATTATCGAAAATTTCTCTCTTGCTTTTTGGTTTGTTTCGGTTGCTGCAATTGGAATTATTATGAACTATGTAATTTGCATGGGGTATTCTCATATGTTTGTTTGTGTTTTCTTCTTCTTTCTTTTCGCCTCACTTTTTTTTCTATATTTAATTTATGCTATAAATGCTGATGAGTTTGCTTAAAAACTTCACACAGTGAACAAACATTATTCATAATGACGGAAATAAAAGCTGTGTGTGTGTGTGTATGTGTGTATAATTGAAAAAATAAGCTTAATGAATGTGTGTGTGTGTGTGTGTGTGTGTGTGTGTGTGTTGTAGTATTTTCTGCTTTCCTTTGTTGTATTATTATTTGTTGTTTATATTTAATGATGCGCGCTACAGATTGATCTAATTTAACTATGTTTGTATGTATGTGTGTGTGTGTATGACTGTGTGTGTGTGTATGTAATTGTGTGTTCTCGGCATTTGGAGTTATCGCTTTTGTTTCTGGTATTTTCTTGTCGTTAGTATTTTTTAATGCATATTTCTTGTAGTTGGTATTTTGTTTCCATTTTACTAAACTGTCGCTGATATTTATTGATATTTTTTGTTCTTTACATTTAGATTCTGGTATAATTTTTCATCTTCTTTTTGCATACAAAATTGGTTTTTCTTTTTGTTTTGTATATGTTTTTTTTTTTGTATTTTAATTTTTATATATTTTTGTTTGTTTTTTTTTTTTTTTGTATTTTTATTTGTTTGTTTTTTTGTTTTTTAGCGGGTAATACAAATGCTTAGATTAAGAAAAAAAAGTTGTATCTTTATCTATATATGTACCACATATATATAGCATATGTGTACGCATATACGTATATATATATGTGTATATATATATATATATATATATATTTAAGTATAAGTAAGTTTAATATTTAGATTTATTTTATATGCTGTACTTAGTTAACCTAGATTCGAATACATGAACACTTCAAGATATCATTTTTATTTTGTTTTTGGTTTTAATAAGTGATTTAATTGAATTGAATTTAATCTAGCTTTTCTTTTTGCCTGCTTTTTTTTACTCTCATTCTCTTTTTTTTTGTTCTTTTCAGTAGCTTAACTTCGTTTTTTTTTTTTAGTTTTTTTTATTCACTCAATTTTGTTCAGAAATTATTCGAATTTCGTTTTCTTTTTTTATGTATGAGAGATGAGTTATAAGCTACTCTCCGTTCGTTCTTCTTCATCTTTTGTGAAACAGTTGCAGCTGCTGCTGTTGCTGTTGTTGTTGTTGCTGCTGCTGCTGCTGGTGTTGGTGTTTCGTGATGTTCGCAGTTGCTGCTGCAACTGCCGATGTTGTTGATATTGGGGTTTTTAATACAGAAATGCAATTATATTCGCGGGCGTCGTCTCGACTTCGTTGGTGTCTTTGTTGTGTTGCTGCATGACAAGCAAAGTGAGGAGCAGGTGTGAGTGTGTGCGATGTTTGTTGTGATGGGGGGCGTCTACGGGGCGTATGAGCAATGCCGCGTAAATGTTTTATGTGTGTGGTGTGTGTGTGTGTGTGAAATTGTGAAAGAGCGAGTATGTTTGTGTGTGTGTGTGGGTGTATGTGAGTGAGCTTGTGTGGATGTGAATAAGAGAGAGAGAGAAAGAGTGTTGTTGCTCTTGTTGTTGTAGATTTTCCTCGACTTTCCGTTCCCTTCGTGCTGTTTTCGAATCCATTCCTTCTTCCATTTCGCATGCACACTTTGTCCTTGTCGCTGGGCAACATACTATTTTCATAACATTTGACTTGAATCCATGGGGCATGCGGGCAGCTGCAGGCGCCACGTGCAACATGCTCGCCATGCCCTTGGGCACTGCAGCCAGATGGCGGCTGTTGTGCCCAAACTCCTTTCCCTTCGGCTGCTACTCGTGATTGGTATTCATCCATATCCGGTTCTTCGTCTATCGGTTGTGACTTTAATATTCGTTGTTGTTGTTTGGTTGTTGTTGTTGTTTGGTTGTTGTTGTTGTTGGTTTCGTATTCCTTGCCTTTGACTTTAACTTCTGGTTCGGCTCAGTCCGCTTTCATTCGTTGTGTGCTTTGGTCTATTGTTGTAGCCTTTGATTATCCTAAACCTTGTCGTATCTCGACTCGTTTATCGCTTATCGTTGATCGTTATCGGTATCTGTATCGTTATCGTTATCGTTACTGAGGCGTTACTCTGTGCTTTACTCTCTTGTTGATTGCTGATTGAAAATGACTTCGATGTGCTAGCATTGACGATAGTTTTTTTGGTTGTATTTGTAAGATACGTTTTATATTTTTTTCAGTTTTGTGTTGAACTTATGAAGCGGTTGCTGCTGCTGCTTTTGTTGTTGTTGTTGTACTAAATAGTTGAACATTGTTGTTGTTGTTGTTGTTGTTGTTGTTGTGGCTTTCATATTGAGACGACATATTGCATTTTGTATTGTTTCTAATACTCCCAATATCATGCATCCTGTATTTCACCTTTCAATCCAGGCACCCTGTGGTGTTGGTTATGTCCTAAGCGATTTGCTAAATCCTGTACAACATCACGAAATATAACTGTATCTATATTTTCACCTAATAAATACAACAAAAACCAATCGCCCATCTTGGAACGACGAACGATTATTTCAATTGCGTCTCGACGCACTAACCTGTGAGGCGAAACGGAGAGAGCAGTGTTAGAGAACGTTAAATCATCGCATATCATCGCATCATATCTATGTGGCACTCACCTAAATCGCATTCGAAATAAATATACCCTCATTCGAGGCGAGAATATAATAACCACCCTGTATATTAGCGTTAATAATGTGAGTAACGTTAATAATATAAACCAAAACCAAAGGAAAATGTAAATTTTCTCATTAACAACGTTTAATGGTAAAATGCAAATGGCGTCGTGTTTTTCCACCTAATCAAAGAGGAAGAAGAAGAATTATAATTATACACACATCAATAATTTGCGCTGTACTCACCTCCCCACTTGAACCATATTTAAAAAATGTACATTTGGTCATTCTGGGAAATATGTAAATCATCGGATCCATGCGATCTTCCTGATCGGTCTCCATATAATCTATCACATCCAAGCCAAATGTCATAAATTCACCATCGAAAAATCGATTCATAAGAAACATTTGACCTGTGAAACGAAAACACCAACAAAATATGAAAATGTATGTGGATAAATTCAGACGTGTAAATATATTTCAATTTGGATAATTTTGAATGAAATTATGAATGCGTAGTATCCACTGTGAGATGCGTTGGGCGGAGCGTGTTTATAAATCCAATTTACGAGTTCATTGCCTACCTCCGAGAGCGTGTGAACTCAGCTAAATCTGTTAACAATCTAATAAATTATGTCAGTCAATTCATGTGTATCAATTAGGCTTCGCTTCCGGTCCTATGCTCGAATTAATAATCACGCAAATTGAATCGGAATATAACAAATTAGCGGGAAATTCGTTTTTGTGCGTCTGTATGAGCTAATTGCGGCTATTGTTATGGAAACTATTGCAATTACGATTGGCATTACCATGGCCATTAGTTGAGCTGCGTACTTTGGCATGGTTAGATAATAATATCAAGCTGCGATCATTGGGAGTGTAGCAAATGGGGAGCAAATGGGGGCACTGCCTTAGAGCTGGTTAATTTCTATTACAGACTACCTAAACTAGAAATAATATACAGTCGAGTCTCGGTAATTGTATCCCGCTAAATCTAAAATCGCGATAAATCCAAAAATATTATATTCACTTGAAAGAAATTGGTTCTTAAAAATTAAATTAAATAATTCAAATTTCTGTGTAAATCGATTAAAAACTATCGTTTCGAGTTATCGGGATCCTACTGTACATACATACATACGTCTATTGTAGACATAACTGATCGTAGCCACAATTATATCTTCCTCTTATAGCTCAGCAAAGACCTTCTCTATGGATAAGTTAGCTTGGACTAACTGTGGCTATATAAAGCTGAGCATTAATAGCAAAATATTTATCCTGACAATATTTCTAAGGCCATAATAGAGTCTTACGATACCTAATATATGAATTTTGTATACTTGTTTTAAGTCAGAAGGTACTCAATGAATATATATACCATAATCTAACAGCAAATCCTATTATAATTGAGAGATATACAGAGCTTTTGGTCTGCTTAAAAATTGAAAAAAATGTATAAATATATAATCGATATACATATAATATGTGATACCAATATTGAATCAATCAAATGGCTTTTGAGCGAGTATTCTGCAATTGTTTATACCCGACTGCAAGGCTGGCGTTATTATGATTGATGCTGATGAGGTTGATGCCAAGGAATTTATGTGCCCATAGCATATATGGAAGCGTAGTCCAAATCCTAACTAGTTATTCATGATGTATGTGTGTATGTATGTATATATCTAAGGCATTTAGTATGAGCCATGTTGAAACTGAAATGGAATTCGCTTAAATGGGCAACAGGCTACCCCATTTGCCTCACTTCATTAATCGCGTTTCTTGTAAACTCATCAGACGTCAACATTCAATTAGCCTGAACTTTGCCTTAAATTTGTTAATAGACAAATGTGTCTGTGTGGCTATGTGTGTGTGTGTGTGTGTGTGTTTGTATACTTGCACATATATAGGCAAATTAGTGTATTTTATAATTGTTTATTTCTTTATTTCTTATGTATTCTGACAGTTAATTATTTTGCTAGATTTCTGATTGTAGCGCACGTGGCGCACGTTGTCCGAAAAACGAAAGAAAGAAAATGTAAATGGAAAATGGAAAATGAAAATGGAAACGTAAATGAACAGAAAACAAAAAGAAAGCGAAGCCTGCAATGAGTAAAAGTTTGTTTATTTTGATGCGGACTGCGGCTACGGTCAATTCGATCAAAATTCGTCATTGATTTTCCACGGAAAATGACTGAGTGTATTAGCAACATATATAAATGTGCATAGATACATATTTCTCCACATACATATATACTTTTATGCATATATTTTATCTCTGTATATGCTAAAGATATTCTGTATGATTAACCACAAATTTTTTTATGGGATTATCAAAACTGAGGCATTTGCTCTGCATCAGCTGCACATCTGACGATAATGATGATGATGATGATGATGCTGATGCTGATCTGGGTTACTCACCTATCACATTTATCAGGGCGAGCAGCTCACACACGTAGTATCTGTACGCCCACCAATTGTGATATCTGAAATTGCAGGAATTCAATTGTGAAATTGTAATCGGGCCAAGTAATTAGCAATTGCCTTGGCTTACCTTAAATTTTCCCATAAATAATCTAAAAGTAATTTCTTTTTTTGTTTTTTCTCGGCTTCGGAACAAATGCCTATATCTAAGTCCATGATGAGCGCATGAATTTTGCCACCCTCCCAAGACTTCCACAGCCATCTTGGTGTGTAAAATAAGATTGCCTGCAAGCAGAAAGACAAAGAGAGTGAGAGAGAGAGAGAGAGAGAGAGAGAGAGAGAGAGAGATATGTATGAGATATTATCAAGACATATATTTAGTATATTTAGTTCTGTAAAGGTGGGCTAGGGCGACGCCGTGTGGGCGTCTGTCGTAAAAGCGCTTAAATTTGACAAGTGACAATTGCCAGCTGCTTGCCTCAGCCATAGGCCATGGCTAGAGCCCGGCCAAGTAATTCCAGCCGGCAATGCCAAAGGTATTATGTGATCAAAATTGCCTTTGCCTGACCTTCCCAGTGCATGCCTCTGCACATTGCCTTATTATTATTATTATTATTCTTATTCGTATTGTTATTATTGTTTGCTGATTCCGCGATTTACTTACAGACAGCTAGACACGGGGGATATATTTTATATGTATACGTATTTATAGACATGTCATCAAAACAATTAGCTGTGATCCATTAGCGAGAGCAGAAAAAACAACAGCCGAACCGAGGGAACTGTGGAACTGGATGAAGCAAGAGCAGACGTTGCCACAGTCCGTCCGGCTGGCCAACAGCAATCTTGCCCAATTAAATGGATCTGCCGCTGGCTCTGACGCGCTGGTATTTATGCCCGCTCTGATGACATATTAATAATAACTTGTATCGTAAATTTCTGGCTAAATTGTGCAAATGTTTGCTTTGGCTGTGGCTCTTCTGGCTGGCTTGCCTGAGATGTGGGCAGGTGGTAATCCCCGCAGCCAACGCGTCGAGCAGCTGCTCGATCGAGCGAGGTGAGAGTTCAGTTTGTTTAGTGGCTACATAATGGCGTCTGTCTGCCATTGTCATTGCTCTTATAATTCACGCGCTGTTCATGTTGGCAACTGCTAAAAAAATATCAAACGGCATGTGATCGGGCCACAAAGCCCCATATGACTAGAGCCCACAGCACGGCAGTCGACAGACTTTTGGCATGGCGGTCATGGCATGGTCTTGACAGCAGCAGCAGCAGAAGAAGAAGAAGAAGCAGCAGCAGCAGCTGAATGTTGCATGCTTTTTGCATGTGTTGCAACAATGCGACTCGAATATTTTGAAATTGACGTCGCTCGGCCAACATCTGCGGCAGACGGTGGGGCCAGCAGCAGCAGCAACAGCTAAACAATTGGGCTCACAGCTTGCAACGCCTTGCCGGAAGTCAAATGATGCGTTTGATTTGCCTTTTCGCCGTCGGGCATCATTTTTGATTTTCTTTTATTTTGTGTATTTTTTGTTTTTATACCCTTGCCCTAACAGCTCGACCCTCAATTGGGGCATGCTGCGGGCATCATATTTGTTTTCCCCGCGCCATCTCGCTTCCTTTGCTGCCAATTGGCTTGGACCGACGACATGCAACAGCAATAATCGGAGCCACATTCGAAAAATCCCTTTCTAGAAGAAGGCAGCCGCAGCAGCTTGCGCCAATGGCTGTGGATGAGTTTGCGTATCGAACTGCATGCGTGCGTGTGTGTGTGTGTGTTTGTGTGTGTGTGTGCGTGTGTGTGCGTGTGTGTCTGAAAAGCAATTTGGCAAGCGTTCAAATTGCCATAAAAACATTGCATAAATGCAGCTGCAATCAAAACCAAACCAAGTCGAAAATCAACAGGCGCAACCAAGTTGAAAGCAAAGGACGCTGCACAGTGGAGCAAAGGTCGATGAAATATATATTTAAAAAATAAATTAATAAAATAAATTAATAAAATAAATTAAATAAAAAAATTATTCATTTATATATCCAAATTTTCTAAATGGAATTTTAAGAGTGTTGGATATGATTGTATATGTTTTTCAATTTATTTATTTATTTCAGATATACGGCTTAATATTGCACTGTTAAATTCCCGCCCCTATGGTATATTTATGTGTATATATCTATATAGATTTTTTTTGTTATGTATTTATTTTTATTGTCATTTGTTTTAATTTTTAAAATTTGGATTATATGGCAATAGCTATATAAGCTTACTTGGAGTAGCATTAGTCTTTTTTTTTTAATATATATTTTTTTTGTACATATTTATAATTATTGTTTTAATTTTTTAATTTAATTTTAATGTAATTTTATTAATTTTTGTTTGATTTTTATTTATTTTCCATATTTTAATTAAATATTTTTTTTTTATTAATTCTTTATTATTTATTTTTATCAATATGTGCATATACGTACAATATATCGTTAACATATAGCAATCATAAAAGCTTAGTTGAAGCTTTATGAGATTTTTAAACTTTTTTTTTGTTATTATTTAATATTTAAATATTAAAAAAAAAAAACAATTTTAGTATTATTATTGTTTTTCTTATTATTATTATTATTATTATTATTATTATTATTATTATTATTATTATTAT